AAATTTGTAAAAGGGTATGGGAAGATTGTAGCTCCTTTGAATGATTTGCTTAAGAAGGATGGGTTCAAGTGGAACCCTGAGGCTCAGCAGGCTTTTGAAGATCTGAAAAAGAGAATGACTCAACTACCAGTGCTGAAAATTCCAGATTTTAATCAGACTTTTGTAATAGAGTCTGATGCTTCAGGAAAAGGAGTAGGTGCTGTCTTAATGCAGGAGGGCAGACCTGTGGCTTATATGAGTAAAACTCTCTCTCAGAAATCAAAGTAAGTCTGTTTATGAGAGGGAGTTGATGGCTATAGTTTTGGCTATTCAAAAATGGAGGCCATATCTATTGGGAAGGACTTTTGAGGTGCACACTGATCAGAAGAGTCTAAGGTTCTTGACTGAGCAAAGAATTCTGGGGGTGGACCAGCAGAAATGGGTGACCAAACTGTTAGGGTATAACTTTGTCATCAAGTACAAGCCTGGGGTGCAAAACAAGGCTGCGGATGCATTACCTAGAAAGGGTAATCTGTATTCCCTGTCTGTGGTAACCTGCCAAGAATGGGAAGGTTTGGAGTGTGAGCTGATGGAGGATAGCAAATATAAGTATATGATTCGGAAATTAGGGGTTGAGCCAGACTCCATTCCTAATTTCATCCTCAAACAAGGACTTCTCTATTTCAAGGGCAGATTGGTAATTCCTAAACACTCAGCAAGGATTCACAGCATCTTCAAGGAATTTCATGAGTCGGCCATAGGGGGACATGCTGGAAATTTCAAGACTATGAAGAGGATATCATCTTTGTTTTATTGGGAGGGGATGAGAGCTGATATCCAACAGTTTGTGCAGCAGTGTGAAATATGCCAGAGAAATAAATACCAAGCTCTGAGTCCAGCCGGATTGTTACAGCCATTGCCCATTCCAACTCAGATTTGGACTGATCTGAGTATGGATTTCATTGGAGGACTGCCAAAAGCCCAAGGGAAAGACACCATTCTTGTTGTGGTGGACAGGTTGACTAAATTTGCACACTTTATAGCATTATCACACCCATATAGTGCTAAGAGTGTGGCAGAAATCTTCATTCAAGAGGTGGTTAGACTGCATGGGTTCCCTAAAACTATAGTCTCAGATAGGGACAATGTTTTCTTGAGTGTTTTTTGGACTGAATTATTTAAGCTGGCTGGAACCAAGTTGAAGTTCAGCACTGCCTATCATCCCCAGACTGATGGGCAGACTGAGGTGGTCAACAGGTGTGTTGAGACCTATCTGAGGTGTATGACTGGGAGGAAGCCTAAGCAATGGCCTCAATGGTTACCCTGGGCAGAGTTTTGGTATAACACCAATTACCATGTGTCCACTAAAAACACCCCATATAAAGCTTTATATGGCCAAGATCCACCAGTTTTGGTCAGGGGTGATGTCACTTCATCAGCTGTGGAGGAAGTGAACAGGTTGACAGCAGCAAGGAATGAAATAATAGCTGAATTAAAGAATAACTTGGCTCTGGCCCAAAATCAAATGAAACAGCAGGCTGACTTGAAGAGGAGGGAGGTTCAGTTCAAGGCAGGTGAATGGGTATATTTGAAGATACAACCATACAAGCTCAAGACACTGGCTAGGAGAGTGAATCAGAAGTTAAGCCCTAGATTCTATGGCCCGTTTGAAATCAGTGAGCAAATCAGCCCTGTGGCCTACAGATTGAACCTGCCAGATGGCTGTAGAGTTCATCCGGTGTTTCATGTGTCCCTGTTGAAGAAGGCAGTTCCTACCACTTCTACCATACAGCCCTTACCTAAATGTATAACTGAAGACTGGGAGTTGAAGGTGAAGCCAGAAGAAGTGAAGGAAAGCAGGGTAAATGATGCAGGAGAAATTGAGGTGCTGGTACACTGGGAACACTTGCCAGACTTTGAAGACTCTTGGGAGAATCTCAAGCAGCTACTGAAGCAGTACCCTGATCTCCACCTTGGGGACAAGGTGGTTGTTCCAGGGGGGAGTGATGATAGGGATGCTGGGAGCCAGTCCTATTTTGATAATAATATTAAGTATTTTGATCATGTATACTCAAGGAGGAATAAGGGTCATAATAAGTAGCTATATGTTACTAGTTATCGGATGGGGGGAATATTACTATAAATAGCTAGGTCCTTGTAATAATTGGAGGCTGGTATTGGCTTGTATTGGGCTGGGACTTGGAGAGAGGCATCTCTTAAAACTGCCAGACACTATTTCTCTCTCTTGTTTGTTATACGATCTTCCTCCATTACTGTGCATTGTCCCTTTTTCTCCAATTCTGTTGCTAGATTATTGTTCGCAGGTCTGATTTCCTATCAGCCATGTTGAGCCATATACAACTTAAATGAGGCAGACAAATACTCTTGAGCATTGTCTCCCCTTAAAATACGAACATGTACATTAAATTGAGTTTTGATTTCAGCACAAAAGGCACAAAAATGAGAAAATAACTCGGAACGACGTTTCATGAAATAAATCCAAGTCATACGAGAATAATCATCAACAAAGGTAACAAAATATTTAAAACCAGATTTGGACACAACAGGGCAAGCACCCCAAACATCAGAATGAACCAATTCAAAAGGAGCATGTGCTCGTTTATTGACTCGAGGACTTAGACTACTTCGATGATGTTTTGCAAATTGACACGAATCACACTGTAAAGATGACACCTTATTGAATTGAGGATAAAGCTTCTTTAACAACGGAAGAGAAGGGTGACCTAGTCGATAGTGAGCCTCTAACACAGTTCCAATGCCAAGACAAGAGATTGATTTGGGTAAGGATGTATCCAAGAGATAGAGACCGGCCGACTCATATCCTTTACCAATAACCTGATTCGTCAACAGATCCTGAAATACACAATATCCAGGAAAAAAGGTTACGGAACAATTAAGTTTACGTGTGATTTTGCTGATCGAAATCAAATTGAAAGCAAAATTTGGAAGACTTAGGACGGGTGACAAAGGTAAGGTAGGTGTTGGGACAATTGTACCCGTACCAAGAACAGGTGACGTAGATCCGTCAGCCAAAGTCACACTAGAAGAATGAAGAGGTGTGTGGAATGAGGAAAAAAGACTAGGATTACCTGTCATATGATCTGTTGATCCTGAATCGATAACCCATTTTGAGGATGAAGATACAAGACATGTGTTTGGATTACCTGAATTAGCTACAGCTGAGATAGGAGTAGATGAATGCTTTAGAGCCTCCTGGTAACCTAGGAATTTGGCATATTCCTCCGAAGACATAATGATGGATCCATTAGATGGCTGTGTAGCGGAAGCAATGTGAGCGACTTGATTTCCTTGATTTTTGAACTTTAGCTTTCGACAATCTTTGATCAAGTGTCCGGGTTTCTTACAGTAGTTGCATACTACTCCTTTGCCAATCGGTCCTGTGCGTGGCCACTTCTCACCTCCATTGGGGAATGTTGGGACTTGTCCCACAAAAGCATTGCTTGGCTGAGGTGCTGATGATGTGGATGAAGTGTCAGTGCGAAGCACTCTACTGAAAGCATCTTGAAGAGAAGAGACCACATCACTAGATAGGATATGTGATTTGGCTGTTTCAAAATCAGACGTAAGACCAGCCAAAAAGCTCATGACTGCCATTTGTTCGCGTTGTTTCTGCTGCACTTTGATATCAGGACTAAAGGGCATTAAGGTATTAAGTTCTTCATACGTTTTCTTGAAATCCATAAAATAAGCTGTGAGAGGCTTATCTTTCATTTCTGCCCTGTAAAAGGCTTTGCACACCTCATAGATGTGGTTAAGATTACCTTTGCCAGAATACATAAATTCCAAATAATCAAAGAGTTCTTTCACAGTATCACAATGACTAACATACCCCATGACGTCATTCTCCATGGAGTTCTGAATCTGGATAAATAATCTAGAATCATCACGAAGCCAGACAGCATTAGCAGCTCTATCAATCTCCTCCTTTGGCGGGTCATCAACTAAGTGGGTGTATTTATCAATGCTTCGTAAATAACGTTTGATAGTTTTACTCCATTCAAGATAGTTAGAGCCACAAAGTTTATTCTCAGTAATTTTAAAATTAATGGGAATAACTTCGGAAACTACCAAAGGCTGAGCATGTTGTACGGTGGAAGTGTCTGTATCAGAACCAGCCATTTTTTTTTTATTTTTTTGTTTTGACTTTTTTTTTTGACTTTTTTTTTAATTGCAGAAATAAGATGCTATGTATTAAGTAAACTTACAGCAACCAAAATACTATCCTTGAATGTCGTTGTTACTTAATAAGCAAAGTCACAGAAAGATAATACCGTTCAAGACACCGGAAAATAGTTCCGATGGATTCTCCGGCGATTGGGTCTGCGATTAGGTCTGCGAGGTCCTCTGACGGCGCGTGTGGCCTGCGGATTTCGAGTGTAAGGTCGGCGGCGGAAGGCATGACTGCTTAGGGTGGAGGTGATGCTATGTGAAACTGTGGATTTTGGACTGAGGTTCTGAATTTTGGGCTAAGGTTCTGGCTGAGGCATGAACTGAGATTCTGAAAAAATACTGCTAAGCTAAACTGGAACTGATTGCTCTGATACCATGTTGTAAGAATTAAAGATAGAATAGTAATGAGAAGAATGATTTTTGTGTGTATTTCATTGGAGGGTCAAGCCCATATATATATACATTACAAAGATAGAATATTCCTTTAAGATTCTATACAATAATAATATCCTAGAGTATATTCCTAAAATATTCTAAAGCATATTCTAAAGATAGAAGAATATTCTAAAACATATTCTAAAGAATATTCTATAATGTCTTTCACAAAGGGAAATGGGAACTATTTTTTGGGACAGCCCAAAAAGGAAAGTGGGAGCTATTTTATGGGATGGAGGGAGTATTATTTTTAACTGTGATGTCACATGTTGATTCATGTTAGCCGACCCCAAACTCTTTTGGGATTAAGGCTTGGATGTTGTTGTTTGTTGTTGCATATTGTATATATAAAATAATATAAAGAAACAGATCACCTTTTCAGCATGGATTCTCTAAGATTCATCCCTTTTTGAAGTAAGCGTTCAACCAATGCCTCTTTTGCCCAAACTGGACGCTCGTCAAAAAACTTGGATACGGCTGTCTGCAACTCCCATTCATATGTTCCTTTTGAAATGTATTTCTCCCAGTTTACTTTCTTAGGAAAATGTAGGAATGTTAAGCAAAACTATAAAGAAAAAAAGAAACTACAAAAGCAATGTAAAGTAGCTCTTTGAGAGTATCGTTTGATCAAATTTGGGCAAAATGATAATCATAATGCACACAGAATAAGGTAAAGAGTATTTTAAATTGAAAAAAACAGGTACAAAATGAATAACCAAAATTCCACCACAGACAATTAGGAATAGGATATCTTTGTTGTTAAAGTCAATGGCAAGACATGGCTCTATTTCCATCTACACCAAAGAAAGTAAAAAGTGAATTAGCTTAACATCATGTACTAGGTGCAGAAAAAGATGTCTGCCTTGTGCAAGCATCTACCAACAGCTAAATATTTGGTTAGAATAAGAATTCAATCAAAAACCATGAGAACTTATGGAGTATATTATAATAACATATGAAATGTATATTGCTATTGAAGAGAAGGTGTGAGAGTCTCAATTGCTATGGTTTGGATATGTGTGTAAAAGATCGAGTGATGCACCTGTTAGACGGACGAGTTGAGAGGTTGAAAAAGAGACTGGGAGGAGGGGGGTGGAAGAGCCAAACTGGTGTGGATTAGAGCGGTCGTGAATGATATGGTACTTCTTGGGTTGGATGAGAGTATCACTTTGGAGAGAGCAAAGTGGAGGGAGAATATACATGTGGAGGATTGATCTCGTTTTATCCTTTTATCTTTCTTAAAATACGAATCATTGTTACACTCATCTTTTTTATTAAACCTTTCATTCATTCTTCATCGCCTAACATTTAAAATAATTAAATGTGAAAAGAATATACTTATATAACTATGACTAGCTAAAATATACTTCTAGAATACAAAATATATTAATACAAATCTAAAATATATAGCAAAATTCTAAAATTAGGGGCCTGCATGCATAAGCGAAAAGTACTTTGTGGGTGTGTTTATTACATGCAAAACAATGATTCTTTCTCGCCTTAGGGGGGAAACATGCCCCAGGACTTAGTGTGGATCAGTCAGTGGGTCTCAACCAACACACATAACAGTACACTTTCACCAAGGATTAAGAAGAAAAAAATGCAGCACATCATCTGGTCTAACAATTTACTCATGAAGGGAAACCTTGGAGAATTAATTCCTTATTGCAAACCACCAACATACCTCCCAACATTGTTGGACAACCCCTTCTTGCTTCTTTTTTGAGCTCAAAATTCCACATGGTTTCAACCTGAAGGTAAACCCATTATTCCCAAGGGCTCAAAATCTAGGAAATCTTACCCGTGTTTTTCAGTAATTCGCGAATGCAAAATTTTCAAGGTGCAAAAACCCCTAGAAAGTATAAAAAGCTATAGTGCATCTCACATAATATTATCAGGCATATCCTTCATGGAGAAAAGCTGTGGTACTAAAATCATCAGATCCTCTTGATCAGCATCTATAAGATTGCTCTTCTCTGAAAATCAGACTCAACAATGAGGTTATACAAAAAAAGCCTTTTGGCATGATAAATTTTTGAAGACTTCTTTAATTAACTTAGAAAAACTAACCAAAATTCATTTCCAATTCAGCCCAATTTCTCTTCTTTCTTCTAGCAACATCAGCGTGGACAGCAATAACATGTTGATAATCTACCATTCCTTAAGAACCAGAACAAATATATTTGCAGTCAAAGCAGAACAAAGGGGCCAACAACATTTTTGTCAATGTTTTTAAATAGCACATTTAAATTCTAAATTACACCTTAGAATGATAAGCACAAAAATATTCCATTAAAGCTTTCAGCCGTAACATAAAGACATAATTTCTAACCATCAAAATGATATGCATCAGCCACTAGAGCAACAACATCAGCAGAAAGTTGTTCTTTCAAAGCTTCCTCTTTCCCCTCGTCAACATCTCTACAAGCATCAGCTGATACAGTTTCAGTTTGATTGGCGTGTTTGGAAGCTTCAGAAGATTCAGGATGTGACTCATTTTGGTCATTACTAGTCATATCCACTGAAGAAGTTTTTGATAATCTATAGTTGGTCTCTGTATTTTTAACAGCCATGATTTTTTCTTTTGTTATTTTTAACAGAAAATTAAGTGAGGATTTATGCTTCCCAATAGTTGGATGTGAATAAGGGTCTTCAGGCCGGAAACGGAGCTCCAGTGTGTTTGTCTTTGAAGTGCGAGCCTACAGTTGAACACACACTCATCAATATTTCATCTCATTAAAGACCCAATCATTGGGGCTGATTTGCAGTGATTGTGGACATGCATTTATCTATTATTCTGTCACAAAACTAACTGATAGAGACCTGGACTTATGGGCTTAATCACATCATCATCATTACCCCAGTGCCGCAAAGGCTCCCACCTACGGTGGGGTAAGGGGGGTCGGATGTACGCAGTCTTACCCATGTACTAAAGCACAGAGAGACTGTTTCCGGATGACCCAGAGTGAAAATTGCGTCCAAAATTGCATGGACCGAGTGTTGCTTCATAACAAATAAGCACAAACAATTTAGTGAGCCGTTTTACTTATGGGCTTAATATTTTAATAAAATGTAATAGTGGGCTGGGCCAAGTAATTAGATAGAGTGAGGGAAGCCTCATTTGGAAAAGAATAAATAGAGGGAATAGAAGATGGAGAGGGTAGGCAGAAATTGGATTGGACTGGGACTTCGGAGAGACTGAGGCACTCTCGAATTTGCCTCATCTGTATTGTTTCTGTTCAGTTTCAACAATTTCAGTTTTAGTATTCAACAATTCATCGCCAGATTTCCGTGTTCCTAACATGGAAATCCAGTTTCTATGCCTGCTTTACTAGAAGGTTCTTCCAACTGTTTGACTAAAGCTGATGGTGTTTGTATGTTGTGCTGCCTAGTTATTGCTCTTAATGCAGTAAGATGGGACTACGTGATAAGAACTTTGAAATACAGAATGAATTACAGAAGATTTAACACAATCAATCACAGAAACAGAAAACTTCATTCAAAGGGGTAAACCGTGTACAGAGTCCAAAAGAAGGAGATAATACTCCAACTTCCCAGTCCCAGACTCAAAGTCTAAACAGAAGGTAGTTATTAGTTACTAACAACCTCCAACTAATAACTCGCTAGTCTATTTAGGTCTTTTAGAATAAACTCTCCCGTACAATCTATTCTGATTATTTAGACTAGCTAGATCTTTATCAATACCCCCTCCTTGCAGAACCAACTTGTCCTCAAGTTGAAAATCAGGGAACTGATCTTGGATCATTTGAATGTCCTCCCAAGAGTCTTCAAAATCAGGAAGGCCTTGCCAATGCACTAGGACCTCCTTCTTCCCTTCCTGATTCAACCTGCTGTCTCTCACAGCTTCAGGTCTCACTTGCAACTCACATTCTTCTGGGAGGCAATCTGGGAGGCTTTGATAAGCCACAGTTGGTTTCAGCACTTTCTTCAGCAAGGATATGTGGAATACAGGGTGTATTCTACTTCCTTCTGGCAACTTTAATCTGAAAGCAACCTGACTTAGTTTCTCTGAAATTTCATAAGGACCATAAAATCTTGGACTCAGCTTTTGATTGATCCTCCTGGCCAAACTTCTCATCTTATAGGGTTGTATCTTTAGAAAAACTTTGTCTCCTACTTCAAGTTCCTCTTCCCTTCTATGTTTATCAGCTTGTTGCTTCATCATATTTTGTGCTCTGGCCATATTCTCCTTCAATTCAGTCAACATCCCATTCCTCTCAGCTGTCAGTTTAGCTATTTCATCTACTGAAGTTATACTGACATCACCTCTAATGATTGCAGGAGGTGGCTGTCCAAACAAAGCCTGATATGGAGTACTTTTCAATGAACTGTGATAATTAGTGTTGAACCAATATTCAGCCCACGGGAGCCGTTTAACCCATTGCCTCGGTTTTCTTCCACTTAAACACCTCAAGTAGGTTTCTAGGCAACGATTTACTACTTCAGTCTGCCCATCACTCTGTGGATGGTAGGCAGTACTATATTTGAGCTTTGTCCCAGCCAATCTGAACAACTCTGACCAAAATGAGCTCAAGAAAAGACTGTCTCTATCACTGACAATGGATTTGGGAAATCCATGTATCCTGACTACCTCCTGAATAAAGATTTCAGTCACTCCTTTGGCATTATAAGGATGTGCCAATGGTATGAAATGTGAGAACTTTGTCAGTCTGTCAACCACTACTAGAATAGTGTCTTTTCCTTGGGATTTTGGTAGACCTCTGATGAAATCCATACTAATATCAGTCCAAACATGTTCGGGTATTGGTAAAGGCTGCAACAAACCGGCAGGCTTTAAAGCTTGATATTTATTCCTATTACAAATTTCACATCCTTGAATATAATCCTCTATGTCAGATCTCATTCCCACCCAAAAGAACAAATTAGCAATCCTCTTCATAGTCCTGAAATACCCCGAATGACCCCCCACTGCAGAATCATGGTATTCCTTGAGAATGATTAGAATTTTGTGGGCCCTTTTGGTAAAATCAAACTCCCTTTGTAATAAAGTAATCCACCTTTCATCTTATAGTCCTTGTATTGGTCTTGCTGAATCAACATCTTCTGAATAATCTCCCCCCATTTAGGATCCTTTTCCAATTCTTCTCCCAGACCCTCCCATTCTTGGCAAGTTACTGTGGATAGAGCTGCATATGTAGACTTTCTGGAAAGGGCATCAACTGCCTTATTCTCAATTCCTGGTTTGTATCTAATGGTAAAGTTGTAACCCATCAGCTTGGCTATCCATTTTTGTTGATCTTCTCCCATAACCTTCTGCTCAGTCAGATATTTCAGACTCCTTTGATCTGTATGGACCTCAAAATTCCTTCCAAGGAGATAAGGTTTCCACTTTTGAATAGCAAAAACAATAGCCATTAATTCCTTTTCATACACATATTTATTCAGATGTTTGGGAGACAATTGTTTGCTCATATAAGCAATAGGGCCTCCCTCCTGCATCAACACAGCCCCTAAGCCTTTTCTCGAAGCATCAATCTCTATCCCAAACAATTTGTTAAAATCAGGCACCTTTAGAACTGGTAATGAAATCATGGCATTCTTCAGATCCTGGAAAGCCTTAGTAGCCAACTCATTCCAGATAAAACAATCTTTCTTTAGTAGCATGGTAAGAGGAGCAACAATCTTACTATACCCTCTTACAAACCTCCTGTAATACCCAATTAAACCTAGGAATCCTCTGAGTTCCTTCAGATCTTTGGGGATATTCCAATTCTTCATTGCCTCAATCTTTTCAGGATCAACTGCCACACCCTCTTCTGAAATTATATGTCCCGGATAACTCAACTGTTTTTGGCCAAAAGAGCGCGTTTTTAGATTAAACTAAAATGTCATCAAAGAAAGAACACCAAAGCAAATTTCCTCAGAAAAGGCCTTAAACACTTCATTCATAAGTGACTGAAAGGTGGAGGGAGCATTAGTCAGACCAAACGGCATAACTAAGTACTCATAATGACCCTCATGGGTCCTGAAAGCTGTTTTATGGGTATCACTGGCCTTCATCCTGATCTGGTGGTAGCCTGCTTTGAGATCTAACTTTGAAAAAATTCTGGCACCACCTAACTCATCAAGAAGTTCCTCAATCACTGGAATAGGAAACTTATTAGGTATAGTAACCTTATTTAAAGCCCTATAGTCTCCACAGAACCTCCAGCCCCCATCTTTCTTCCTAGCTAATAGAATGGGGCTACTATAAGGGCTATTGCTGTTTTTAATGATTCAAGATTTCAACATTTCTGCAATAATCTTCTCAATTTCATTTTTTTGATCAAATGAGTACCTGTATGGTCTGAGATTTGGTATATCTGCTCCTTCTTTAATATTAATGGCATCATCACATTCCCTTGCAGTGGAAACTGGAGTGTAGAAGTAAAAACTTCTGGGAATTCAGCTATCAAATCACCCCACCTTTTTTCCATGTCCTCCTTCTCAGTCTGTTTCTCTGATTTCCCTTCACAGTACAACAAAAACCCATCTCCAACCTGATGTAAAATATGAGCCATAGTCTTCATAGTTACCTCCATCTGATTTGCAGCTGGATTTCCTCTTATAATGTAGATTTCCCCTTTCTGTTTCCACTTAAGGATTTGATGCTTAAAGTTCACCTCCATATTCCCCAATCCAGTCAGCCATTCCATTCCCAACACTATATCCACTCCTCCCAAATCCAACATATAATACTCTTGCTGAATTTGTACTCCCTGAACCTCCAATTCTACCAAAGAACATCTGCCCAAATTTGGTATACACTCGCCATTTCCAATTTGAACCTTATATCCCTTAATTGGACTATAAGGGATTCTCCATCTCTCCACCAGTGTTCTGGACAAGAAATTGTTTGTAGCTCCACTGTCTATTAGAATAGTGACCCCCAACTCTCCTCCCAACCATTTCATCCTTCCCTTCACCTTGAAAGTAGTCATAGAGGATATGCCTTCCTTACTTAGAACTGAAAGTTGCATACTCCTGTTATCCATCTGACTGGTAGTAGTGGATAATTCCTCCATTGTTTCCCCCACTTCATCCTCAGAATTCTCTTCCCCTTCAGAATTCTCAACCAAAATCATCTTGAAGTTTTTCATCTTACACACATGACCTCTGCCCCAATTCTCACCACATTTAAAACATAAGCCTTTCTTGCTTCTCTCCATCAACTCTTCCTGAGATAATCTAGGTCCCTGTCTCCTTACAGATACTTCTTTAACTTCAGGATGGTTTCTGTTATCAGCTGTCCCCTTAACAAATGTACCAGAATTGCTTATAGGTCCCAGATGACTTCTCCGCTTACTACCTTCATTCCAATTCTGTCCTGGAGACTGAATGATAGTCTTGCTCTGTCCCTGCTTCTTGTTCTCCTCCCTGTTCTTCATGAAAACTGCTTCCTTATTCTTGTTTTCAATCAGTGAGGCCTTATCCATCACCTCAGCTAAGGTCCTGGTACGATATAACTTCAACTCTGCTCTAATATCTCTTTTCAGACCTTTCAGGAACACACCTTTCAACACCTCCTCAGATAGATGTCCCTGTGATGCAATAGTTGCCTCAAATAGGTCTCTGTACTCAGATATAGATCCCTTCTGCTTCAAGCTAAACAAAGGCCCCAAAGGATCCTGGACCACGTCCGGTTGAAATCTCCTGGTCAACGCTCGTGTAAATGAGTCCCACTTCTGATGTTGTGCCTGTCCTTCCCACCATTGGAACCAGCTGAGAGCTTGGTCTTCCAATGCGATGACTACCACATCCAGTTTATCATCTTCCTCCGTTCTATTCAATCAAAAGTATATGTCCATCCTTAACAACCATCCTGTAACATCCTTCCCGTTGAAAATCGGCAAGTCAATTTTTCTTCCCACATTGTTCTGATTTCTATGATTCCGTCTTGGTTCGTGGTCGTGCCGCGAAACGGAATGATTATCTGCATCATCCGAACTATCTTCATTTTGCGAAATTCTCTGATGTGTTGTCCGCTGAGAATTGTTCGGTCTGCGCGACTGACTCCGTGATCGATTAGTAATATGAACTTGTAATTCCGCGATGCTAGCTTGCATCGCTGTTTGCATCGATGCAATATTCGCAGCTATATTCTCCATACTGGCTTGCAGATCACGTTGACCTCGTTCAACCTCATTCATTCTTCCTTCCATCTTCGCGCGTGTGTATCTCATCCAGCGACCGACGCGCTCTGATACCAATGATAAGAACTTCGAAATACAGAATGAATTACAGAAGATTTAACACAATCAATCACAGAAACAGAAAACTTCATTCAAAGGGGTAAACCGTGTACAACCTGCATTCCCACAGCAGCATTATTCTATTTATAACCTTCTACAAACAGAAGGTAGTTATTAGTTACTAACAACCTCCAACTAATAACTCGCTAGTCTATTTAGGTCTTCTAGAATAAACTCTCCCGTACAATCTATTCTGATTATTTAGACTAGCTAGATCTTTATCACTACGTCAGGGACTTGGTTATTAAGTGGAGAAGAGCTTTTGTGGAGGAAGCAGCACGAAAAGTTATAAGCCATGTGCATTGATTTTCACCTACTAACTTGCTAGTAATAAAGCTCCAACCTGCAACAAGTTTCTCTGAAGTTGGGAGGCAGCCTTTTAGTGATTCTGAAATGCATAAAAAGGGGTTAAAGCAGTTGGGAAATGGAAAACAGTATCTTGCAGAGTTTCCTTATGCCAGTTTGTTATCCGTCGAAACAGCAGCATGTTATGCACCACTTATGAGATTGCTTGCGCCTACCAATTTTGGGTCACATGAATACTATTGGAAAACTTCCGCTAATACTTCTACATTGGAATCTGCCCTTGTTGTTAGTCAGTTATTTGATGTTTCTGTGGTTCTTCTTATTAGTCCTGGTGGATACTTCATGTCAGATGCTACAATTCCCAGGAGTGAAGCAACTGAGACCACATGACTGGGGTTATATCCGGAGGCAAGAGCTGTTAGCAACTGTAAGATTGAGCACTTGGTGATTGATAAAGCTCAGTTCCAGCATGAACAGAGCCACCCGAGTAGGACTGATGCTCTAAAGATAGATGATCTATTGATTCTTTTGCTAGAAGAAGTGAGGAAGAAGATTCATGTATGTAAGCCCCTTGTCGAGGATGAAGCTGGATGGCATGGCTGCTCTTACTCCCCACCTTGAGGACAAGGTGGTTGTCAAAGGGGGAGTGATGATAGAGACCTGGACTTATGGGCTTAATACAACAAACAACAACATCCAAGCCTTAATCCCAGAAGAATTTGGGGTCGGCTAACATGAATCGATCTATGATATCGATGCCAAACAGAGACTTATGGGCTTAATATTTTAATAAAATGTAATAGTGGGCTGGGCCAAGTAATTAGATAGAGTGAGGGAAGCCTCATTTGGAAAAGAATAAATAGAGGGAATAGAAGAGGGAGAGAGTAGGCAGAAATTGGATTGGACTGGGACTTGGGAGAGACTGAGGCACTCTCAAATTTGCCTCATCTGTATCGTTTCTGTTCAGTTTCAACAATTTCAGTTTTAGTATTCAACATATCATCGCCAGATTTCCGTGTTCCTAACACTAACACATAGTACGGGGTAAAAAAGCAATGTATAAAACAAGCATAAAAAAAATCCTCAACCAAACAACATACAGGAGTCTGTTCAGAGAAACAGAGAGTTATAACATTCAGTCTCAGTGACAAAAGACTCCTACTTTCCTATGCTACAGTTATCAGTTCAGATGTCACTTCATATGGACTTAGGTGGCAGACTAGTACTCACATGCTTGTGCAAAGATGAATTAATGGAGTTTCAGAATATAAGTCTTGGCAAGATTCACAAACTAATCCATCTAATTCAAGGGTTTGGAGGATGAGAGAAGGCTTTGAACATCTAACGTGAATTCTACCTAATACATGGTTACTGGGCAGAATTTTTACTTAAAATTATAAGCATGGTGAGTTTCTACTCATTCCATGAATAGTAATAATTGTTCCCTGCAACAATAAGCTGTAAAAAGAGGTTGTCGTCCCCTTAGGATATATAAGCAACTGTGCAAATGAATTTGAATAGGACAATTACCAGCATCCTATAATCCACATCATAAAACCCTAACAGAAAATGTCTCAATGAAATAACAACAAAATCAAAGATCGAAACCTTGAACTCAACCATTAATGAGAGGGAAGAATTCAACACCCATTAACAAATTGTTTTCATGGTGTAGCTAGTAAAGGTAATTTGCCCAAATAAAACAGCAAAATAATCACAACGCATTTATTTAAGCATACAAAGTACAAACCATAGAAGGATGTCTAGGGAACAAAAGTTGCTTGCATATAAATACATTTCCTACTGGTATAAATAAACATCTACTCCCTTTACAGCTGTGGGTGAAGAAAGTAAATAAGTAGACATTAATTGAAACTTTAATCGCATATCAGTTACATACCTTGGCAATGGCTTCAGTTCCACCGAGAGTCTCGACGGCCCGTTGGAGGGAAGAAGGATAAGCAGGATAGTGAACAACGAAGGTATTGTCGTTGCTGGGTAAATTTCCAGATATAGACCCGTCTATTATGATACCCATAAGAGCCGTTGCTATTTTACTCGACAGCGTCAACTACTTGAGCTTCCAATTTTCACTATGGATAGGAAAACAGCGATTCAGCAAAGGGGTGGGCTGAGAATGGTAGACCGAGAAATATAAATTGAAGATACATACATATATAATAAAATGTCAATACTCTAAATTTTGATCAAAACATCATTTAAATTTTCCCACCACGACTTCAAAGTATAAAACTCATCAATAATAGAACCTACATCTATAGTATTGACAAAATCTCGTTCAATGTAAATTATCAACGAATTTTCAAGAAAATCCATCTCCCGTTTTTTTACGAAATGTTGTCTTCACATGTTTCATTCGTGAAAATTTTCTTTCTGTAGCAGGTAGAAACAAGTAGGGTCAAAATAAGACGAACTAATCTTGTTGGAATAATGTAAACTTTTGATTTCCCACTCTCGGTCAAATATTGACATAACTTAAATATTGATGACCAAAATTGAATTAAAATTAAAATACATATATAAAAGTATAAAACTAATACATCATAATATCGTAACTAATATTAGGTAAGTAATAACTATATTCTACATTAAACATTTCGATTTAATTCCCAATTTAAAATTGAATTTAAATTTTTAATACTTTCTTACATTCCCAAACATTCTCTAATCTTTAATTGTATATGAAATTGTGATATATTAAAATTAAAAGGACTACAATTATGAATTACATTTTAAATTAATCTTTAAGAATTAAGACCTATACTAAATTGATAGAATCATTAATCATTAATCAATAAATAACATTTAATTACAAATTAAAATTTCACCTACTCATAAAAAAGAAATATAGAATTAAACAACTAATGAAATAAGACTAAAAGAGTAAAAGAGTAATTTTAGAGTAATACCTGAAGGCAGTGGGATGTGGCGCTCTGCCGGCCAGGAGGCAGCAACGCAGATAGCCCCTTGCCAACACCACTGGAGGGCGGACGCAGATCGGACGGCGGCACTGGACGACTAGAGTCTGGACGGCTGGACTGGCGGCCTGGAGGCTTCCCTGATCCCTCGCACTCTCGCAGGTGGAACGCAGTCACGCAGGCGAAATTATTTTGAGGTGAGCTACTGAGCTGGACATTAATTTTAAATCAACCTATACTTATAATGATCCGCCCTGGTTGTGCTGTCTCTCAGGATGGCGGTCATCATCTTCTTCCCGCCGGATACTGTTTAAAAAGCATGTCGTACTCTTGCTTTTGTCCTTAATCCTGTCGCCTAGTTGTATTGCGTTGTTGGTTTCGTGATCCTCAGGTTTGTTACTCGAGTTTTCGGATGGGACTTGCAGATTGGTTAAACGAATTTAAGGAATAAACAAGGGTCAGCCGCGCCCTCCTTTAGGCCAGCTCAGGCCTCAGGGCCTCCAAAAAAATAGGGAGTAAAAAATTAAGGCCCAAAAATTTAAATACATTTATATTGCATTAGTCCATTAAAATTTTGTCATCTTGAATTTTTGTAATGTTCCAAAAAACTTTGTCACTTTCCCTTTTAATCAATTATTTTGTGATTCCTATTGTTTCTCTCTCCTCTGCACAAAACTCAACCACACAGTTTTACTTTACCATTCTCCGTACAGGTTAAACTTGGCAAAGTTTTAAGAGACGGAGGTAGTATTATATGCTCTGTATTGTATTTTTTTTTTGGAAAGAAATAGCTTATATTAGAATCAACCACAACATAGCAACAATCATACTCCAAGGCCTAAACCTCCTTCTATCCAACCAATACCAAAAGCTCAACGATTCCCTCACGTCATAATCAGACATAGAATGGCTCATTCCGAAAAGAGCGAGACTAATCGTTCAAACAGTGAGAACATAAAGACTATTAGCGACTGAATTAACCTGATTGCCTCTAACAAGATTTTTACCTACTAAATAAAAGCAGTACTCATACCCACCCCTTTATTGTACGACACAAAAACAACAAAAACAACAAGCAAATTCAGTCTGAAATATATGAAAAACGCAAAAGAAATAAAACTTCAGTTAATGAAACTCTTTTGCTTCCATCCCTTATGGATCCTCCCCATTTATTGACGACCCCAACTCTACCTCTATGTCCTTGTGCAAAGATCCTTCCTTCCCTTGGTCAACTCTCATACGTTTCTGCTCAATCTTCTCTCTTGTAGCATGATACTCTTGCTCCTTTTGCAAGTTTGCTTGACCACCCAAGCCTGACACGCTGGTACTCTCCATTTTGAAGCTCTCGACTCAGGTCCAAACGGTAGGCCTCCACTCTTCCCTGTGCCATCAGGACAACGCAGGCAATACCTTTATCCATGATCAATGATACCGCATGTAAAACAGAAACTAGGAAGTTTTTCATATTTAAATTTGACACAACAATTGTCCCCTTCATCCGTTTGAAAAAAGAGTTTCCCGCCTTTTCAAGGGTGTAGCGACTGTGCTACTTTATACTCCCTACGTCCTTTATAATTTTGCCAACTTTTCTTTTTTGGACGTCCCACTAACTTTGCCACTTTCCCCTTTAAGTAAAGAAATTGTGGTTCCAGTTCATTCTCTCTCATCTGCACAAACCTCAACCACACAATTTTTTACTTTATTATTCCTCGTGCCGGTCAAACTTGGCAAAGTTATTAGGGACGGAGGGAGTATAATATAAAGATATCAAAACTTTACTCATTTAAATATAATTTATACACATAATACATGTACCCTGATATACGATGTGGTCGGTGCCATCTGGTTGAAAGTAAATGGCCATTTCCAGTCATAGTTTGGAACGAATCAACCTGTCAAATGGTTTATCCCGTAAAAGATTTGCTAAGAAAAATAGCAACTTTTAAAAGAATTCCAAGAGTCACCCTTCTACCATCAACCATACATGTACTTGGACAAAGAATCTAAAAGTTTGAGAATAATCTTTAAATAATTCAAATTTAAAATTTGATACCATATTTTTTTCAAAATAATCTTGTAAAATGATGTCATAAAAAGATCCGTTTTCGTCTTTACACATCAAGATGGAAATGACTAGGCTTGACGTCCCAGATATGCACGCATGCGGATTTCACGAAGCTCTTCGCTGTTCTCTACACAATTTCCCCCTTCTTGGTTAATCCGAACATTCTTCTCCACTCGTGGTGTTGGATCTAGCTCTCAACACAGTGCGTTTCATTGCACATTATCCGACAAGGCATACCATCAAGCCTACCAGAAGCATGGCTTCGCCAGAGGGCAACAGCAATGGTGGCGGAGCTGCAACGGAGCAGAGAGTGAAGTATCCCTCTTCAACATCAAACTCTAAAGTCGATAGATTTCACGAGATTGTTCACGCTGATCTCACCGGTAACCTCTATACGGGTCTCCTGCTTTGGTTTCTCTTGGGGTTCGACAAAGAATTCTTTAATATTATAACAACTGACTCATTCTTTTACGATTTTTTCGCACTGAAAGTAAAATAACATGTAATGGAACTAGATGGCTGGGAGAAGTGCTGGGAAGAGAAACTAACACCGTGGGATTTGGGACAGCCTACTCCAGTTCTTGTTCATCTCCACAGGGCAGGTGCCCTTCCTAAAGGCAGGGCTTTAGTCCCTGGTTGTGGCAGTGTAAGTTTATCTCACTCAATGCGCAATTTGATTCCAAAAAGAGGCCATTGAAGTCTGAATAATCACAGACTGCTTTAAGTACAAATGAGCCATTCTTGAATATGCTTTTTTCAGTGTATCAGCTATGTGGTGACCTTCTCGAGTAGTAACGGGAATAATTATACTGTATCAGCTTTAACTCCAAAAAGGCTTGGAGTCAAGCATATGCTCCCATTGGGATCAGAAGTTAGAATTTAGTGGGGAGGGGAGTGCAGCCATTATTCATTAGAGGAGAACGAGGCATTAGAATGCAAGACTAACAAGCCCGATATGTCTTGGAATATACACACATTAACAATTAACAATAGGTAATCAACAAGACAACAAAACCAATGGAGTGTACACACACCGCATGGCGCACATACATATATATGTGTGTGCGTTTATGGTATGTTCAATTTGTAATAAAATTTTCACCAGCACATATACTTAAATAGGTCATTGTACGAGAGCTGTTTAATTTATGTGTCAGGGTCATGATGTGGTGGCCATTGCATGCCCTGATCGCTATGTTGTTGGATTAGATGTATCAGAAAGTGCAATTACAACAGCTATGGAGGTAAGCTTATGTTATTATAGTGACATTGATCCAGTACAACGAACCTCACTGAGATTGGCAATCTAGAACCAACTCATTAGATTGCGAGAACCAAGATCTCCTTCATTGATCTCAATGACTGTCTTTTATTCTAAAAGAGAGTATTATTTTAATTTGCGAACTATTCTTGCTACAATAGAAGTGACTGAATATTGATTAAGGTTCTCGGTGTTATGAATATATTAGCTATAATTTCCTCAGTTTTTTTGTTCCTGTGTGAACTGAAAGGAATCTTGTTGCTAGCAATATGATAAGTTTGTTGGTCAATTACAGTTTTTCCCCATCACCACACATGTCAATTTATGTGGTAAATAATCTCTATATGCATAATTGCATAGTTGTACTATAGCAACCTTGACATCATAGGTTTGTGTACATCTTAGAGTTGTAGATGTAAGATTTGCGTGCATCTGAGCATCTCAACTCCCAAGACCCTTTCTAGTGGGATGTAGTGATGTACCGGGTATGCTTGGTTTGGTTTATATGCATGACTACATAGGTGTACTATAGTACCATGCCACAATAGGTTTGAGTTGATTATCATTCAGAGTCAAAATATGTCCAACCTTACCAACTTTATTAGTCTTTTCCCTTTTTTTGGTACCCAATAAAGTGTAACCTTTTCTAAACTCCAGCTATGATGTAAAATACGCGCTACCGTAAATAAACACAATGCATTGCAATTTAATTGCTTTGAACTGTGATCAACTCATTATTTCAAAATTTCCAGTATTTATCGATTTCTTATTCCGATTCATTTCTTTAAACTCTCTACAACAACTTCTGCACACCGAGGCAGCTGTCTTTGTCGTCTCCAAATGCAGACTGTTTTGCTTTCCTGAAGGCAGATTTCTTTAATTGGCATCCTGTTGAGTTGTTTGACCTCGTTTTTGACTACACGTGAGTTTGTCATAAGTACGAGTTTATTACTCTTGGTGTAAATTCCTCTTCTTTTCAGTAATGCCCCTTTTTTCAAAAAACCATTGCAGGTTCTTTTGTGCCATTGAACCAGATATGAGAAGAGCTTGGGCCGGCAAAGTACTTGAAGTTCTAAAACCAGACGCGGAGCTCATAACACTGATATTTCCGGTCTGTTTCTTTTTATGCCTTGCTTTATCTTCTTTGAGGCTTTTTGCCCCCTCGTACCACCCCAAAGAAACACAAGTTCTCATGCTCCTTACAGCGCTCGCAATACTTTCTTGTTTGTTAAATATGTACCGTGTAGTACCCCTGATAAAAAGAGTCATGTTTGACCAACGTACGACTATCATAGATCTAAATCATACGTGTACTTTAAAATTCGTTGGTTGGTTTTACACTTTTACTAAACTTATTTTATGTAACTTATCTATCACTCTTCTATGCAATATATGGCAAAAATATTGCTTCATTTGATCAAAATAGACTCTTGTTGTGGGACAAAAAGAAGGTTTTGGACAGAGGAAGTATTCTGTTCTTAAAACCCTTCTTTGCAGTCATGTGAGATCAAACAAAATTAATTTCCATGTACTTTGTCATAAAAGATTCATGGACTAGTTAAAAAAGATAAATTGGGTTACACATTAATATCAATAGCACAGGCAAACTGAATGAATTATTACTGTTGTACCATAACAAAGAAAGGTGCAAATTTGTAAAACAAGACTTTTTTGAAAAGATGAAGTAATATTTATATGATTGAAGCATTGAACTTTTATTTCTTATAAGAATCAAGTTCTTGTCATTAAATATAGTAGGCTCTACTTTCCAAAGAGCTCTTGACCTTCAATTATAAAAACTATTTTATCTTTCTTTGTTTTTTCCTTTCCTTTTGTAGATCAGTGATCATGAGGGAGGGCCACCCTATAAAGTATCTGTCGCTGAGTAAAGTTTCTAATCTGTGATTGTTGTTACCTTTGGTGTTAAACTGAGTGCTGACTAAACTAACATAATAATCCCCGATGATTGATTAAAATTACGTTGTTCAGTTATGAAGAAGTTCTCCATCCACTGGGATTCAAAGCAGTTTATCTTTCAGACAACGATCTTGCTATTGCACCTCGCAAAGTGAGTGTCTTTTCTTAGTAAATACCAGGCTGTTTCTTAGACATCTATTTTCCCTAGTGTTGATGTCATGTATGTACAAATTCTTGAAGCATATTATATTTGTGTTCTGATTAACTCCTAAGATAATGAAGTACTTGTACCATATCTCAAATAGTTTTTCAAGCCATAAGCTATATTATGTCTATTACACACTAAAGATGTGCTTAATTGTCCTTGTTAGGGGTATAAATCTTACCTCCGGTCTGGGCCCTGCCCTTTAACTCGTTTTGGAATATGCACTTTGAAAATCTTGGATAACATCGTTTATCATTTTTTAAAAATTAGCATTACCTAAAGAGAGACTACGTAGTTTTGGACTTGCTTGTCTGGCTGAAATGGATGTTACTGAACATCTTTCCTTTTTGATAATCCATCAGATTTAGAGCTCGTTTGGTAACACTGAAATCAACTGAAATTGATAAAGTGCTAGTTGAAACGACTGAATTAGTTTTATTTGTTGTGTTGGGTTAATGGTCCAACACGGATTGACCCATAAACTCATAAGTTCCACCCTACGAACATCTCTAGAGACATAAGAACAACAAGGAAACCTCCCCCCAGAACAAGCGATGAACGTCCCCTATGGGCCACCGGGGCCCAATCCTATGGATAGCTGGGTATATGAAGGTCCAGGGGGCTGCATGATGTTCGGTGTCTGGGACTTCAGGCCAGGCGCAGAAGGCAAGCTTAGGGGGGCGCTCGTCTCCACCCTTTGGCGGGAAGCCAAGATTCTGGCGGGAAGTGCGTTTAATGCAGAGATTTGGTGGTTAAGACCTCAACCATCAACAGCTCGCCACGTCAGTTTATCCAACTACCCATTGGCAGTATAAATAGAAACATTTATTTCATTGTAAAAGGTTGACAACTTAGCACTCTAGCATTCTAGCAATTATATCAGCTCATAGCATAGCTCTGTACGAACGGCCTCTCGGCTTTGTAACCATTTCAGGGTATTAAGACTTCTTATTGGGCCCTTCTTGCTTGTTTCCTACATCTACTTCGATATTTCTTCCACTCGAAACCTTTGGGTCGTGTGTTGGGCCTACGGGTTGAAGGAATAAACTTCAACACTGACGCCGTATGTGGGAACACGTTCGAAAAGATTTACGTGTTCTTGATTTTCTGCAAAAGATGCATACGAAGTGAACTGTTTTTAATTTTTTTAATATTTTTTCATGTTTTCTCGAATTTTCTGAAATGTTGGTAGGAAGATGAACTGATTCTTCATCTGCTTAGGACTGGGCTTTATCCTAAGAGGAATGCATAGCTAGCCGCCGAAGACCCGGTGTGAGCTGCGAACCATTGTATTCATGATGGTTTGGAGGTGGAGGCGCAATGGACCCATACCCAGGAAGGAGATGGTGGATGCAGGAGATGGTGGATGCAGTCCACATACTCTTTGATTGGACACAAGCATTAATGCCCATTCCCATGTGGGAAGTTTGCAGGGGTATGAGGTTGACCCCACACAAGAGGGGGGACGGGAAGCACACGGCTCACTAACTTACTCGTTGCACGTCCGAAGCAAAATCCACGCCGAGCGTCCACAGCAGTGAGGCCAAATAATGAAAGACTAATTTCCTTCAAGAATTTTGACCAAGTTAAGATTGGGGAGTTCCAACAAAAGCCTAGGCCGAGGTCTTCTACAGATTGGACTTGTACTTTAACTTGAGTAACTGAGTAATGTGGAGAATTTTGACCAATTCAAAATTGCAAGAAGGACCAACTCAAACTTCACAAAATTCCCAAGTGACTGAACATCAAATCCAAGAGCTAAATACACACGTCTCGCTCACGGATTGGAATATTGCTAATTAAATTCTAATTAGTATTTTTATTACTAGTATTTTTATCACCATTATTTACTAGGGATTAAAATATCTCGAATATAAATAATGCTGAGCGAAGCTCTTGTGATATATTGGACCATTATTTTTAAACTAGGTGATGAGCCGAGCCGAGGGTCATCGTACCCCTAGGCCGGTGGTCTCGCCTGGAAGTGCCCCATGCCGACATACAAAAAAAAGGTGTGCACAATATACATATTGATGGCCATTTGGTTGTGTTACGATGTTCTCTGTGCAGATAAAGATCATAATCGGGGACAGATGATGCTCAGAATGAACTGAACGAGAGGTATCGTAGTGGAGACGAGCATCCTCCACCCAAAGGCCGAGGGTCTAGAGAAGAGCTTCACGGCCGAGGGCCGCGAGACGAGCATCTTCACTTCAGAGGCCAAGGCCCTGGAGACGAGCATCTTCACCCCAGAGGCCATGGGTCTGAAGACGAGCATCTCCACTTCAGAGGCCAAGGCCCGGAGGTGAGCATCTCCACCCCTGTGACCGTGGACCGTGGGACGATCATCTCCACTTCAGAAGCCAAGGGCCTGGAGACGAGCATCTCCACTTCAGAAGCCAAGGGCTTGGAGACGGTCATCTCCACTTCAGAAGCCAAGGGTCTGGAGACGAGCATCTCCACTTCAGAGACCAAAGGCCTGGAGACGAGCATCTCCACTTCAGAAGCCAAGGGCTTGGAGACGGTCATCTCCACTTCAGAAGCCAAGGGCCTGGAGATGAGCATCTCCACTTCAGAGGCCAAAGGCTTGGAGACGAGCATCTCCACTTCAGAAGCCAAAAGCCTGGAGACGAGCATCTCCACTTCAAAAGCCAAGGGCCTTAAGACGATCATCTCCACTTCAGAAGCCAAGGACTTGGAGACGAGTATCTCCACTTCAGAGGCCAAAGGCCTGGAGACGAGCATCTCCACTTCAAAAGCCAAGGGTCTGGAGACGAGCATCTTCCACTCAGACGACCAAGGGCCTGGAGACGGGCATCTCCACTTCAGAAGCCAAGGCCAGAGACGAGCATCTCCACTCACGCAGCATGATCGACCCCTCAGCACCATCGTGTCATCACCGACGCCGTTACTTGCCGCCATGCCATCATCATATTCGAAGACCCCTAAAAAAAAGACCAGGGAATCCCAGGGGATAGACCTGTTCTTCATCAAGATCATTGGCCTCGCGCAGCATAAGACCAAGGGGCAGCACGGAGGATCGGTGAGAAGATGGTTGAGCGAAAACTAGCGAATCCTAGGGGATAAACCCGTTCTTCATCAAGATCATCGGCCTCGCGCATCATAAGACTCAGGGGCAGCACGGAGGACCGATGAGAAGATGGTTGAGCGAAAACCATGGAATCTTAGAAGATAAACCTGTTCTTCATCAAGATCATCGATCTCGTGTAGCATAAGACCCAGAGGCAGCATGGAGGATCGGTGAGAAGATGGTTGAGTGAAAACCAGCGAATCCTAGGGGATAAACATGTTCTTCATCAAGATCATCGACCTCGCGTAGCATAAGACCCAGGGGCAGCATGGAGGACCGGTGAGAAGATGGTTGTGCGAAAACCAGCGAATCCTAGGGGATAAACCCGTTCTTCATCAAGATCATCGCCCTTGCGCAGCATAAGACCCAGAGGTAGCACGGAGGACCAATAAGAAGGTGGTTGAGCGAAAATGAAGACCCCTAAAAAAAGGGGCACCAGGGAGTCCCGAATGGGGTAGACCTGTTCTTCATCAAGATCATCGGTCTCGCGTAACATAAGACCAAAGGGCAGCACGGAGGACCGATGAGAAGGTGGTTGAGCGAAAACCAGGGAATCCAAAGGGATAGACATGTTCTTCATCAAGATCATCGGCCTCACGTAGCATAAGACCCAAAGGCAGCACGGAGGACTGGTGATAAGATGGTTGAGCGAAATTAGAATACCGTTCGCTTCGTTAGCAGTACGGAAGGCAAATCAGAACAAAAGAGATACACTAATGAGAATACAAAGGGAAGAATCAAACTTGACTGCTGTCCGGAGGAATCATCGGTTGCGTTCAGCCTGTTTTCGCTCGTCCTCCCCCTGCTTCTTCAGGGCCCCTTCATGAGCTTCGATTAAAGATGCGTTGAACCCAACAACTTTTGGATCAAAGGGGGAAGGAAAGTGATGTTCAAAAAACAGAAATTGCCCGCCAAAAGGCCGATCATCCCCACAGTGGCGACATACGACTCCAATGCTCGGGGCACCTGGGACAGCCAGCGCATCTGGAACCATTTGCCTGGGGACGTTCGTACCCACCACGAGATGAATGACGAGTACGGACGCAGAAGACGTCTGCCTCCACAAAGTGGCGGGAAACCAAGATCCCGGCATGAGATGATTATCATTCGCAGTATGATCGGCCCCTAATATTATATTTGTGTTCTGATTAACTCCTAAGATAATGAAGTACTTGTACCATATCTCAAACAGTTTTTCAAGCCATAAGCTATATTATGTCTATTACACACTAAAGATGTGCTTAATCGTCCTTGTTAGGGGTATAAATCTTACCTCCAGTCTGGGCCCTGCCTTTTAACTTATTTTGGAATATGCACTGTGAAAATCTTGGATAGCATCGTTTGTCATTTTTTTAAATTAGCATTACATAAAGAGAGACTACGTAGTTTTGGACTTGCTTGTCTGGCTGAAAAGGATGTTACTGAACATCTTTCCTTTTTGATAATCCATCAGATTTAGAGCTCGTTTGGTAACACTGAAATCGGCTGAAATTGATAAAGTGTTAGTTGAAGCCGCTGAATTAGTTTTATTTGTTGTGTTGGGTTAATGGCCCAACAGGGATTGACCCATAAACCCATAAGATCCACCCAATGAACGTCTCCAGAGAGTCAGAGACATAAGAATAACAGGGAAACCTCCCCTTAGAACAAGCGATGAACGTCCCCTATGGGCCACCGGGGCCCAATCCTATGGATAGTCGAGTACTAAGGTCCAGGGGGTTGCACGACGTTCGGTGTCTGGGACTTGAGGCCTGGCGAAACGCAGAAGGCAAGCTTAGGGGGCACTCGTCTCCACCCTTTGGCGGGAGGCCAAGATTCTGGCGGGAAACACATTTATTGCAGAGATTTGGTGGTTAAGACCCCAGCCATTCACAGCTCGCCACTTCAGTTTATCCAACTACTCATTGACAGTATAAATAGAAGCATTTATTTCATTGTAAAAGGTTGACAACTTAACACTATAGCATTCTAGTTCTAGCAATTATATCAGCTCATAGCATAGCTCTGTACGAAAGGCCTCTCGGCTTTGTAACCATTTCAGGGTATTAAGACTTCTTATTGGGCCCCTTTGCTTGTTTGCTACATCTACTTCGATATTTCTTCCATTCGAAACTCTTGGGTCGTGTGTTGGCCTATGGGCTGAATTATGAAAAAATTATATTTAAAAATATTTTATTGATAAAATAAATAAAAATAATTTGAAAATAGCTAAAACTTTACTTATGAAAACCTCAACATGCTGAATTATGAAAATGATCCCAAAGTAGTTTCAACTTTACTTATTGGGATAATTTGAGTTTGCACCCTACTTTATTGTCGAAATTAGACTTTGCACCCTGTTTTTGAAATCCTTAGTATTTGCACCCTAACCCCGTATGAAAAGACAAGAATGCCCCTCGATCAGAAATATGTTGAAGGCCGACAATATTGTTAACTGAGGGGCATTTTAGTCTTTTCATACGGGGTTGGGGTGCAAATACTAAAGATTTCAAAAATGGGGTGCAAAGTCTAATTTCAACAATAAAGTGGGGTGCAAACTCAAAATATCCCTTACTTATTTTGTTTATTACACAATTCAGCGTGCGACATTAAGAGTTATGTGATTGGTAAAAAATGTTGATTATAAGGTTGATCAGCTGAAAATAAAGGTTATTAAATGGATTTTTAGGGAATTTAGGGTTTTTAGCCAAAACAATCCTTGCCAAACTGAATTGTTCAATTGTATCCATATTTGAACTGATTGCTATCTATTTTCATGTTGCATTTAAATCCATTAATTGTATTGATGTGTCTGCAGGGAAGGGAGAAGCTGGCGAGGTGGAAAAGGTCTATCAGCCAATCATCCCTATGAGATTTTTTTTGAATATTCTTCTAAACCTATTATAGTATCTACTTATGTTAATGATAACATCCTCGATTGGGATGATATTCGAATCTGCAATCTTCTTTTTGGGAGATCAGCACTGATGTCATCGGACCACAAGGTACTTGACATCCCTATGATAGTTGTTGTGTACCACTTTTGAGGAATGCTTCTACCTTTTATAAATATAATGTAAAATAAGAGTAGAAATGCACTTTCAACATCGTCCAGAAATTGGTATAACGTGGATGCAGTGGACTATTAAGTGTGTGCTAGAATTTTTATTCAAACGCAAAAAACAAATGTCACTGTGATAAAGAAACTCTAAAGGAGATTGGTTGATTTTTTATTATTGTAAGCAATGTTTTCACACCGTCATGGCTTCAAGTTGGATGTTTAAAATCAGCGTGTTTAGAGAATAACTCATAGTCATAGATGCAAATTACTCCGTACTGTTTAAGATATCTGGATTAGAAAAAAAAATGAATTAGCATATTTAGTTGAGTTGCTATATCGTGGGAGCGGGGTATGGTGAGCATCCTGCTCCCAAGGTTACATGAAATGTAAACTGTGTGAATTCACATGTAACTTAAGGTTTATCGAAATGTAAATTATACTCATTCAGATGTAACTTGTTGAAATGTAAATTCCTTTAAATGAAATCTAACTTAGAAGCAAGTCAGATGCAACATGGAAAATGTAACTTCAGCCCTTTGAAATGTAAAACGCCTTTACTGACATGTAACTTCCGGCCAAAAATACACACTACTATATAGCTACACCTTCTTGTAGACTGAAGAAGGCACTTAGTCAATTTGCAAGTTATTTCTATTTAAAATGATGGAAATTCAGGATGCTTTGGCCCAATTAATGAAGCTGGTAAGGGAAGAGGTTAAGGAGGGTTGCTTGTTGAAGGATTGCCTGCAGGCTGGTGGCAGCGATTTGAAAGGATTAATCCACAACATCAAGAGAATAGAGAAATTCAGTCCCATGCCGCTCTTTTTTATTTGTGAATCGATGTTCTTTTGATCCCAAGAAGATTTACGTTAATGCTCTGTTTTTATTTTGCTCCCTCATTGATCGATTGATGAAGCGGCTCCTGTTCTGTGATCAATAAAATGATGTCGTTTTGGGATCGGCACACCGTGCACCGCTCCTAGATTAATCATCGACGTTCCTGGAAATCCTTTTTCGATCAATACACTCTAAGATTGCACTTGTTCATCTACTTTATCAGTCAAGGTTAAGGCCAAGAAGATTACACTCTATTTATGTGGATGATTTATCCAATTAGTTTAACATAAACGACTAGTTTGATGTGATTCAAGTTAAACAAGACTTATTTCCTATTATACATATTTATTCTCTACTTGTGCGTGTTATTTAAAAGAATAAAAGAGGTGAGATAAAAAAATCTATCGAAAAGTGATATAGGTCTAATGGGCATTACTATACACCATCAAAAAATAGTTGCAGGTTTAGTTAGGGTGGAGGTGGTAGAGGTTATAGATGGAGCTGCTGTCACGCCTCGGACCTATCCGGACACGTCAACAATCCGCTGTATAATATGAATAGTAAATTGCAGTCTAACTCATCCATATTATACAAGGCGTCTCGAATATCATTCACACATAAGGCATCCATAAACATACATAATAAGTAATTGAATACGCAGCGGAAATCATAGTTTGAAAACAAGTGCCACACGGGGCAAAAACGAGCACGCAGACTCCATAATGAAAAACAATATCCATGAGCATATTTAAATTGTTTAAAAACATAATGGAGGAAGCACGAACCAAGTCTTCCCTCCAAGATGATCGCCCGATCAACAAGCACAGGTAGCAAGCTCTAGTCTCAACCTGAAATGGTGGTAGGACCCCCCCCCCCCCCCCGAAAGGGGGTCAGTACTCTATACGACTATAAAGTACTGGTGTGGATGACATCTAATAGATATACAACAAGTATTTCAAACACAAGACCCTCCAATAGGGTGATAATATAATTCTAGGTCATGGCCCAAAGTTCGTTTACAAAACATATCCCAAACCCCGTGACCCCTAGTCACGACAATACATAGGGTTCAACCCTAACACACATGTTTGCATTTCTCGAGTCCAACTCGACTACATCAACATGCACATCAATCACAAGTCAATTACTCCACCAATCTCCGACGTCATATTCACCCATGCAATTCTAGAGCATCGGGCTCAAGTACATCTCCTTACATAGGTTGAACCAAGTCCTTATGTCTACCCAATGCAATTCTAGAGCATCGGACTCAAGTACATCTCCTTGCATTGGCGTAGACCCCAATTCCTAAGCACTGTGTAACACCCCGGGGCCCCACACGGACCCGAGGTAGTTACTCTAGACCTCTAGTACTGTCCCCACAAACCACCACGAGCCTTTACCGCGCACTTTGTCCTCACTCGTGCGCGCCCTGAGAAAACTTCCCAGGGGATCACCCATCCCAAGACTACTCCCGTGCAAGCACGCTTAACTTTGGAGTTCTTGGGTGATGAGCTCCCTTAAAAGGAGATGCACCTCTGTTGATATGAGTAGTACTATTTGATGGAGTATATGGCCTGGGAACCCCCGGCCCACAGACTCCTACTACTCCAGCGAAAGCCCAACAGGCCCAGAAGGCCCAACATGCCCAAATCACGGCGCCCAGAGTACCAAGCAGCCCACAATACGCACCAGGGGTGCCTTCGCCCCCCTGGCCGAAGGCTCTAAACTCTCACAGAACGGGTTTCTCAAGCAAATTAAGAAACTGGGAGAAAACGGTGAAAACAGTAGCCCTCGGCACTGTGAGCCCTCGGCACCAGGGTGCCATCGGTTGGAGGAGCCCTCGGCTACTTCTCTATAGCCGAAGGCATCTCACTCGACAAGATATCCGCCTCACATGCGTACAGATCACCGTACCCTGCACAGACGTCCCATCCAACAGCCGCATTAAATGCGGCCACATGCGGCTGCCAGCGCCAACCAGTTGAGGTGACCCCTCGGCCAATGAGCGCTTGACACGTGTCCCTGTCTGGCATTTATTGCTACTATAAATAGCACCCCATTTCCCCATTTGTAACAACGACATTCATACTGAATACACTCTCTCTCTACTTTTACTTACATGCTCTGACTTCTCTCTAAGTTATTCTCCGCGATAACCCTTCGGATATATACCCCGGGTAGACTATCCATCACTATTAATCCTCTTAAATTAATCTCGGGTATTACACACTCGCTATGCCTAGAATTGTAATATCAATAATCTATTTTGGGACATCTTTACGGACTGCCTCATCATGATCTTAGCATCACATTACAACAATTTACTCACTTGAACCACAATCAAGTATATCACTTACAATCAAATCCTTAGATTCAATTTCTTAACAATTACAAACAATCATTAACTAGTATTCCAATACTATTAAGATTATTCCCATCAATCATATATTTCATTTGTAAATCCCTACATATTTAGAAATATGTAGCAGAAACTTAGTCATCCAATGTAATACATAAATAATCATTTATGTATCTACACAATTCACACATGCGTAAAAATGCCTATTTCACACAATAGTTCATTTAACTCCATTTTTATCAATATGATTTCCAAATCATTTGCAATTTCATTACTTATCTAATATATCAATATTTCATCAATAATCAGTCATTATAATCCATGAAAAACATGATTTAGGCATTTAGGTAATCTCATGCTTAACCTACAAGTTGTAAGCAACTAGATGTCGATCCTCACCTCAAATGAGCTTTAAATTGTTCCTTCTCAACCCAATGCTCAAGCTTCGTACAATGGGGTTTGAGAATTTATTCCTTTCTTATAAATAGGTGTTAAACAGCCTCCTCAAGGTGCTTTCTCAACTCCTAACCGAACACACGAAAACAACCCTTAGAACGGGTGTTTTCCGGCGAATTCGTTTCCTAACCGTTCAAGGTTTTGTCTAGGTTAGTATCTAACCTTTCCAACGAATAAAATCACTTCATAAAAACATTTTATACAACTCAACCAGTGTACAATAGTTCCTCAATCATTTATATGATTTAGACAACAGAAAGGAAGGTTTTGGATTCGAACTTACTTTGAATACCAAAAACGTATTCTGCAAGGTTGAGTTCTGTTCGGATGATTTGGAGGCCTTAAACTGCTCCGTTTTCTTCAAACCGCACGCCTATGGATTCCTAGTTTCTAGAGCTTTCAGTGGACACCTATAACGCATCTTTTGAATGAGAATAACTCGAGATATGAGTCGCACAAGAAGGCCAACGCACTGGAAGTTCTCCCTGCGGACAGTTTTCCTTTCTCTTGCTTTCTTTGGTCTTGTGCGGCTCTTCTCTTCCCCTTATCTTTTGAGTTCGAATGAGGGGTTACGGGGAGGTATCTGGACGCTCTCAAAACGTTATCTAAACGTGTGGCTCCCAAAAATAAAAGGTTGGGTGTTTGATTCCAATCAAACATGGGATGGTCCTCCTCTTTTATTTCTTTTTTGTATTGTTTGGGCTCTCAACTCAAAAGGTCCGCCCCATTTATGTGTTATAACTTATTCTACCTGTTTTGCAGGTGCTAGGAAGGTGTGGGGCGTACTCTCATGTCCCCCAATTAATTTGGGAGCAAAATACCAACCAATACATTCAAAAGTAGAAAGATGGGTCCTATCATTTTTGTCCTTTGTCATAAGATGTACTTTTGTACTATCCCCAATTTATTTAGAACAAGTCAACTTTCTCCATCATATTATTGATCTCTAATAAGTGTAGGGTGGTCCCAATAATTTATTTGATGTATAATTACAAAAGAAAACCCTACTCCCATTATTTAGCCTAATAATGCAAAAGATGGGACCATAATCATTTGTATTCTTTTCCAATCATACCATCATTCATTTATGATGTTAATATTTATATATCTGGGCTACCAACCGTGTGGGTCACCCTCCAATGGGTCTAGGACGCCATTGTTGAATAATTACTATTTTTAGCAGGTTAGGCCCAAAATAACATTTGGGCTGCCCGACCACACTTACATTGTACCAAGGGGTTGCATATCTTTATTTAAGGATGTTGGGCCCCAATATCAATAATATGACCCAATTAATTATTTAGAAGTCCATTACCATTATATAAGCCTAAATAGTAATATGATAAATCATACGTTCCGTAAAACTTTAATCGTTTTACAACGTTCGAAAATAGGGAAATTCAATACATAAGCTTTGAAATTAAATTTAAATTTCTAGGACGTTCGGGTGCGGTGTCACAAGTTCACCCTCCCTTAACAGGAATTTCGTCCCCGAAATTCACGGTGCTACTCAAATAGGAAGGCGTATTGCTCTCTCATCACAGCTTCCGTTTCCCAAGTCTCCTCTTCAACACGGTCACTTTTCCAAAGGACATTAACCATTGGGAATTCTTTACTCCTCAATTTCTTTACCTTTCTATCGGTGATCTTGACTGGTTGTATGGCGTAGTTCGAATCCTCCCATATTTCCACCGGCGGCTTTTCCAATACATGAGAAGGATCATGTACATACTTTTTCAGCATAGATACATGAAACACATTGTGTATCTTCTCTAACTCTAGAGTCAACTGTAGACGATATCATACAGCCCCAATTCTCTCCAGAATTCTGAATGGCCCGATGTAGCGTGGATTAAGCTTCCCTCGGCTTTGGAATCGAATGATATCTTTCCAAGGAGAAACCTTCACGAATACCTTATCATTAACCATAAACTCTAAGGTTCTCTGTCGCTTATCAGCATAACTCTTCTGTCTATCCTGAGCTGCTTTGAGTCTCTCTCGAATCAACTTCACCTTTGACTAGGTGATCTCAACCAACTCAGTACTCTCGAGTTTGGCCATGCCAACCTCGTCCCAGCATAACGGTGTACGACATCCATAGTCACATGTTCTCACTTCCATTCAGGGATGGAAAGTGGCTGCAATAAGCCCGCTGGATGCTGATGTTCCGCCTTAACTTGCTGACAAATAAGGCATCGACTGATGTATTCTGCTATTTCCCTCTTCATACCAGACCACCGGTAGCTTTCTTTCAGATCCCTGTACATCTTCGTGCCTCCCGGGTGCATAGCATACGCCGAGGAATGAGCGTCCTCTAGAATGGACTTTCTGTAACACCGTCCCCAAATGTATTTACCTTTAAGCGAATAATTTATTGAACCCTATGAAATTTTTGTGAATTTACGAGGTTGTGAATTTGTATAAAAAAATTTCGCGTGAATAGTAAAATGCACGTGGGGCCCACATCAGGAGTGGGGACCGCCCGATATTATCGGGAACACTTATTAGATTCATCTGGGCCTAGAAAATATGTATAT